AACCCCCTCTGTCTGCCTGTGCGCTTGGTGAAAACTCATGACTCACTTCCCTATCCAAATGGCCCCAGAGCACCCGATCAGTCAATAAACAAAGGCTGGCAAAGCATCTTCCCTTTTTCATCCTGGATTCTCTCATTTTAAATCCTCTTTTCACCTCTTCTCCCCTGCACCACCCCCTCCCCCCCGCTCATCACGCCTCATCCCCCCTCTTCTTACTGCCCCTGTGTTCCTCTTCACCTGTCCCTCTTCCCTACCTCATACTGATACAAATATAGAAGAAAATGAAGTCAAAACAGCAACAGAAAAAGTTTACAGTAATCACTTCTGTTGTCGCTAAAGTTTGCCACCATCTCTCTTCTTTTAACCTTTCTAACATCCTCGCAGCTTGATCCCCGAGTGCAAAAAAAAAAAAAAAAAAAAAGAGGCTTTGGGGATTACTTAATCGTGACCCAAATACAGTCCCTCTTTTTGGTTCTGTGCTCATGTCATGGTTAAAAGACAGACTCCTTTTGCTATTTGAGCTCAGTTTGAGGGTGTAGTGGAGAAAGAGGACAGAGCTAATGTAGTGTAGCAGTGCAGGGCGAGTGACTGGCGGGCTCAGCGGAGATAATTCCCTCTGACGTGCCGACATGAAAACTGGATGTTTCATTCAAAATCGCAGATATTCGCGCTCAAGCCCAACGGCAATAATAATAATAATAATAATGATAATAATAATAGCAGGTCTAGGACTGTGTGTGTGTCACCTGCCTGCGTTTTCTCTTCCTCTGTCTCCGAAGTCAAATTTCCAACACCTGCTCTTGTGCTGTTTAACATGCAGTGTGAAATTACAGCGCTCCCCCCCCCACCTCCCCCGCCTGTTCAACAAGGATGCGTCCCATCAGAGAACTGCTGCGTGCGTGTTTTGTCTGATACGTGAGCACTTTTCATCATGTCAGTCCCACCTCTTGCTCATGTCTGATGCAATTCTGAAAGTTTCTCCTCTTTGATAGCTTCACTAAATTTCATTATTCTGTAAAAATGCCAAATCATTAAGGACCAGCCCCGAGAGAAGGTGATGGAACACTATTGATGATGCTGAAATCAGACGTTTGCATACACTGTGCACAGGTACGCATCCCTTTCCCCCCCCCTCCCCTCAATATCTGAAATTAAATCAGATTAAAGTTTTTTTTCTGTTTTAGGTCTTGGTTTCTAACTAAATTCTACAAAACTGCCTTTTTTCATCACTTTCTGCAAAGTCAGAAGCACATACCTTTCCTTAGGATTTCGCAGGATTGTGGAAAAGGCTTATGCGTCCTTCCAACGGTGTATGTAAACATCTGGTTTCAAGTGTAGTGTCATGTCGGGTTCGTGTGGATAAACAGCAGATGTTGTGTTGTTGCCGTATGATAATTTCCTCTTCGGCGATGAAAGACAGAAATGCAGTGAATGACTAACTTTCATTTCCTTTGTGACGGACAGGCTCTCAAATTCACTGTGGGAAACCTTCGAGTTGCCATAGAAACACCATACCATCTCTCAAAATGACAGACAATAGCAGAAATAAAAGGAGGGGGGTAAAATGTTTGCACACACCGTTGCAACTTTCTCATTTATGTAGAAATAAATCAGGAAGGAATCAAAACTCAGTGCTACGGACTTAAACAGAAAAAAAAAGGGCTTAAGATCAAAACAAAAACCATACCTGTTGAACTTTTTATATGATATAATATGATTAATACATGTAATGGTTGATAAGTATTTTTATGTGATTGATTGGCCCAGTCAAAGTCTAGACTTAAATCCAACCGGGAATCTGTGGAAAGATTTGAAAAATCAATGTTCCTCGCCATCTGATCTTGTTAAACTTAAAAAAAAAAAGAAAAAAAAGACAAGAAATGTGGTTCTGCATAATACCAACTCAGGGGGCTGAAGAGAAATGAATCCCAAAGGTTTGTAGATTTTATAAAATACATAGAATTGTGTTGTTTTAACAAACCAAAATAAAAAAATAAAAAAAATAAAAAGTTTGCAAGGCACTGTATGGGTCCCCACCAAGCCTGAAACTGCAAGTGTCAGGAGAAAGAAAGAAGGGAGGAATTAAATGATGACAAAGTGGCTGTGATGTATAAATACCTCTGGGTAATGTGAGGACAAAACCCAGCAGGAAGCAACAGAAACCACTTCAACTATTGTTTGAGGCTCTGAGTTTACTTGCATAGGAGGAATAATTCGCCTACTGGGAGAAATTTAGTAAAAATCCGTTCTGTCATGCAATTCTCAGCCAATAAAGTCAAATTCTTTGTGAAGGCAGAGTGAACAGACACCAGCCATCCTAAAAAAAAATCTACTTTGTTGGTGCCAGATAAATAATTAACCAAAAGGCTCTCAAAAGAAGAACACTCTGGGGCCACAGGGTAATGACTGTTTAGTTTACATGTGCATGATTATGCCTTTTACTCTCACTCTCAGCAGGGCCGGACCCCCATTGAGACACCGGATCACAAAGGTCAACAACAATTGGCTTGTCATTCCGTGGGTTTCCATAGTTACCGTGTGGGCTGCCGGGGCCGCCGGGATCATTTTCATCACAGAGTTCGTCCTGGCTAGGGCTAATTGCCGTGTTTGTGCTGGTGTCAGTGCTAGGGCAGTCTGCCATCGCAAAGCAAATATCAGCGCTGCTGGTCAAACAGCGTTCTTCACTACGAACTCAGGAAGATGCGACCGCGTACTCGGGGAAGACAATGTTTTGCAGTTGTTAAGTGTGCCAGCTTCAATTTGAGTGGCTAAATCGTGGTGGTGTTTATGTAGTTATGAGCGCACGCGCAATTTTCCGCCTGCAAAATGTCTCAAAATTCACATCAGACTTGCCAAAACTATTCACTCCATTTATTTTTTTTTGGAAAAAACCGAAATGTAATCAAATCTGAGAGCATCAGGTTTTTCTAATTATTTTCAACTCTGCGGTTTGGCTTATTTTTAAACAAGCTCACCGCCGATATAAACTGAAACTGTCTTCTGAAAATGGATGTAATCACACTCTAACTCTATTCAGTCTTTGTTCTTGTTTTCAATATTCCCAAAGAATTTCAGCATTCACAGTCCAGACACTGAGTGAAAATAATTCTGCCTTCTAGACCTCCATCCATCTCTCCATTGTCTAAACCCGTTTATCAGTAAAGGGTCATGGGGGGGTTAGGCCCATCCCCAAACCAAGAGACGAGCTTTACCTTGGGACAGGTCGCAAGTGCATCAGAGGGCAACACAGGACAAACAACTATACACACACACTCATACCTGGGAGGGGGGGGCAATTCAGAGCAAACAATTTACCTAAGAGTAATATTTTTGTGCTTTGAGAGGCAGCCGGATCCCGTCCAGACATGGGTTACGTGTTTCTATCGGTGAGCACAGTGTGATGACAGAAGGGATCAGGGATAAACACTGTGATGGATCTGAGCCTTTAAGATTAGATTAAACAGTTCATGGTATCAAGCCTAATACCGTGATCAAAACAAAAGGAGAAAAAAAATGAAAACCGAATCCCCAAAAGAAGGCTGCTGAGGGCTCTGCACTCATACTCAGTAATCATGTTCAAGTTACAAGGTGCTTGCCTCAGGTCTGCAAAACAATCGGTCATAAATGATATAGTAAACAGTTATATCCATTCAATTATACGCCGCTGAGCAATGAGCACTGCTGTGGGGACAAAGCCGCAGGGCAGCTGTGCACAAATGGATGCACAGCATTTCATTTATATGCATTATCTCCTTTAATTTAACATTTTCTCGCTGATCTCCCCAAAGAGTTTCTGAAGGCTGCATCAATGGGGCTTTCTAGACACGTGAATCGCACTCTTAAACTCAAATTCGCAGGCTGAGAAATGCCGGAATGAAATTTTCATTCTGCCCTGAATAGTTTAGCAAAACCACAAGTTAAGAAATTCAAGGGCAGCTTTTTTGCTAGAACATAATAATTTGACAACTTTGAGGTGCTCAGAAGGAATGCAGTAGTTGCAAATAAGCACAAAATATGTGCACCGAATCTGTCTTTCAGTGGGGGCACTCAATCCTGTTCGACTTCTAACCCATAAAACTTGATTTACTTTATCGATTGACAAATTTTGCAAAAACAGATTAAATTTATATTTAAAAGGAAGTTAGTTTTTTTTTTAATTTTATTTAATGTCATATTAAAGCACATACTTAAGTATGTTTCAAAGCAAAATAAAACTGAAAACCTAAACAAAAACAAAATAAGTGTAGCTTTTAGATAGAAACGGACCAGAATGTGTAGCAAAGCATAGCAGCTATCATTTTTAGCTTTTCTCAATTTACTATGCGCTTTTTACTGCTGAAACGTATTTAAGATATTTGTTTAAGTTTTATCCAACAATGGTTTCAAAAGAATTAAACCTGCTCAAATGAAAACAGAACTATTTAATATTTATTTAACTAAAATGCATGTTCAGATGCTGAAAAAAAAAATCAAAGAGTAAACAGCTATTTGACATTTAATTCCTTTTTTTCTTTATCCTCTGTGACATATTTTATACTGGTTCTCCTCAATTTGACGTTGCCTTTATTTTATTGAGTAATGGTGGGTGAGATCATAACCAAAGAGCATAACAGAAAAAAAAAAAACAAAAACAAAAAACTACTAAATACAAGGTAGGAAGATCCCTTCTAGGGAGGAGGGATGAATGCAAAGTTACCCACCAACTGATTGATGCAATCAGTTGGTGGGTAACTTTTTCCATTATATGATCACCTTGACCATGTTGTGCTATATCTACAAGGGCATTTGGACTGAATATATCCCAATTGACTTTTTAGCTAAATTTGGAGTTTAGGCAACTGAACACGTTTCTCTTGCAGTCACGTTCATTATAAGTTGGTTCTACATGGGAGGAAATACGAGTTGACTCCAACCTACCAATGCTGTTTAAACCAACAACTTAAGAATTAAGATGTGAGTTGAAGAGGGGGGGGAGCCAGACAGAGCTGTGAGTGTGTTATTGAGTCGACTTCAGCTTCTATAGTGGTGATGGCTGCACTCTGCCAGCACCACCATGTGGTCAGTAATTGAAGGGCATGACGAAAAAAAAAAACTTCTAAAACTGATTATCTTTGTTACGGGTGTTACGTTCGGTGCTCTAAGCCGGCGCATCCCTATATAAGCAACAGGATGTCCTCAGTAAATCTGAAGTTGACTTGAAATCGCCCTTTAGTGATCAAACCAAACCGGGAGCGTATTTAGCAGGAAACGGATGGACAATCCACGTGAGAATGCTCAAAATTGTTTTAAATGCTAGCAATGAAGCAGACACGTATAAATCAGCGCAACATGATGATGATGTTTTCGTCTCTTACCAAGTAAAGTGCCCAACTCCCGTTCATCTAGCACTGAGCCAAACTGCGTGTCTTGTCCCGGTGAGAAGAGAGGTGGACGGTAACTGGAAATGAAGAGGAGCTGGAGATGAAATATCCTTACAGCTTATTTGTCTCTGCGACTGACGACCACGTTCAAAAATAATTGTAATTAAAAAAATAATAATAATAATAAAAAAACAACAAAAAAAGAAAACTCCTTGTGTCTCTACAGGGATTCCTCTGTGCTCTGTCTCGTCCCTCCGGAGCCAAGTGTGCTATTTCTGCCCCCACGGGGAAGCGCTCACCGGGACCAAGCCGCCCGGCGCGCGGTGGTTCGTAATCGGACACCGCACTGTCGCGCTGCGCCACGCACCGAATGCCTTCACTCCGTGTCGCGTTTGGCTTTTAATCAAAAGAAGCACTTGCACCTTGAAAACGCAACAAAAAAGAAGACGAAAAGAAAAAAAAAACTTTTATATCTCAGCTATATTGGCTGCTTGTGCAAAGAAAAGAAGAAGAAGAAAAAAAAAACCCACAGCCAGAGGAGCGGAGGTGGGCGCTGTGTCCACAATGCTGCTTTCAGTTAAAGCTGCGCAGCTCAGGAGCAAGGTTTTTGTTAGCTGAGCACTGCGCCCCCACTTCGCGCGTCCACTCCGGCGGGGAGGAGAGACGTGGCAGCGACGCACAGCTGTCCTGCAGGTGGAGAGGAAAATAAGTGAAGACCTTACAACGATGGAGCAACAAGTGGATTGACGGATATTTGTTAAGCCAGATTTTTATTGTGATATATTGAGAGCAAAGTCACATTTAATCTGGTTAAAGGTCAGCACCATGGGAACGCTTCATGGAACCGCGGGAGTGTTAAAGAATGGTGTGCGTTGGTGCTGTAGAGCGGAGAAAAGCTTCACATTCATCTGAACATGCACTGCGCGCATGTTCAGATGAATAAATGTTCTTTTTTTAAATAAAAAAAAATTAAATATTATTAGAGAAGTTAGTCTTTCGCGCATATCTACAACAGCCGCCCTCTGGTCAGATGAAAACAGAGGCATGTTCTATATGTTAAATTTTAAGTGAGGCTGAAAACGAAAACCTGAAAACACCACAACCACTGTGGAACATGGTGATGGGAGCATCATGCTGTGGGTACGTCCTTCAATACAGGGCGCAGACGACGAAAACAGGAGGAAGATTTTGCTAAAGATACAACCAGGGCTAAAACTGGATGATTTAGATCACGCATTCGTTACAAAAGGGCCACTCAAAGTCACAAATGTGAATATTTAAACCCCTTAGAGCCCACAGTTGCTTTTAGAAGTCAACAAAAACAACTTTTATTGTGGCATTTCACAAATCTGACTTCAAGGAAGAGAGGCAAGAATAATACAAAAATATATTTTTTTAAAATTTCTAAAAAAAAAAATGTTGTTTGCAGTTTGGACGAATGTGTTCTTGTCAGACAAGACCGAGGTTGAACTTTCTGGTCTACATGTACAATACTGGAAAGCTAGCACCACACACAACCCTGAACACATCACCCCCCCCCACACCACCACCACTGTGAAATAGTGGCTGCATCTGCGGAGATGCTGTTCTTTAGCAAGAGCAGGAGGGCTGGTCACTAGTTGATGTGGGCAGGGTGGACATGAAAACAAAGTAAGGAAAAACTGTTAGAGGAAAAACACCCTAAACATACTGCCACTCCATGTGACTACACGTTCACTTCCAATCAAATAGTTTTAAATCAAGTTATAGCGACGCGTTGGAATGACCCTGCAACGTCCAGACCTGTAGTCAATTCACAAAATCTGTGGTGAACAAGCGCCACTCTGGACCGGTGTCACCTGGAATAAACAACGAAGGGTTCAAGAAAACAGAGAAAGCTAACAATGAGGCTTAGCTCTTCATCCTGTCTGACTGACCCTGAGCTGTTTTGCTCAAGAAGAACGAGCAAAAAAATGTAACAGTCTGCATCTATAAAGCTGGCAGAGAGACGCCACAAAATCCTTGCAGCTCTGCTGTATTGCCATCAAGGTTGGTGCTGTAAAAGACTGACGCAAATCCACACCAATCTTTTCAGATTTTCACTTGACGAACAAGCTCGAAAGCCGTGCAGCATTTCCCTCCCGCTTCACAATCGCACGCCGTCAAAAACCGTGCAAATGAACACGTTGAAATTCCGTAGACGTCGCCGTGCCGTTTCTAATAGGGCCTACGGCAATAGGAGAACGGCGGCGTCGGCCGGATGCGACGCTGCGTGTTCCAACGGCGAGATCTCCGGATGCCGTTCATCCTCTAATGATTGAATGCTCTGAAATGAACACCTCGCCATCAAGCTGGAAAGACCCGCAGCATCGAGGCTTTGACAGACAGCTTGTTTCTGTCTCTTTGATGGACACACAGCGGCGTCACCAGCAGCTTGTTAATGCGACTCTGTGTTAAACAGGAACGTGCCTTTGTGGATGCCTCTGCTCCCGTGTACCCACATCTAAATTCAAATCAGGTCATTTTCATAAAAATGCTGCTGCCCACATGGGGGAAGTAAAGCTGAGATTTACATTTCAAGTGGCCTCTCTGCAACTCTGGGAAACGCGTAGGGGAACCTTTCCTTATCTGTGGTGGATGCAGGGAGAGAGAGCAGATATGCTGGATATTAAAGCAGACTGGCTGAAGATATGTCAAGCTAAAGGCATCCATGATTTAGGAATAAAGATATCTTGCCGAAAGAAAGACGGTTTGTGTGAGCACTACCAGAATTGACTTTGCACTAGAAAAATCAACTCAATTGTGTGTATACTTTCATTCATTCTAAGCGCCGTGACCTCCAGAACTTTTTTTTTTTCTCTCTCCTCGCATCAATTGAATTTCTCTCCCTTTTACGCTGCATGGCTTGCTCTCTTTCACAATAGATGTTTTACTCCCTCATGGCCAAACTCACAGAGCTCCAGCTCAACTTCAGAATGAGGCTTTAGTAGCCTGGCTCCACACAGTGAGCAGAATTCATCAGTAAAAACAATGGAGTGGCTTTGAACGCGCCATCAGACACAGAGATGGATGACGGTACATTAGCCCATGATTGGAGCCATGAGACGGATGGAGACAAAGATACGGCTGCTCTCAGGTCTTTGGAGTTGTGTATGTTGTTGTATTGCTGGGCAGAAGCCTCCCCACAGTTCACCTTATCGCCATAAATCATGTCCCTATGCTGGGTTTCATCCTGCCGGTTTCTGCACCGAGTCGATGACTCTCGCTGAATTTATTTCAACCAAAAAAAAAGGTCAAACAATGTAAATATTTTTGTTAATTTTGTCAACAACAACCTTCACATACAGCCATATTCTCAACAGGATGACTTCAATTAGAGCGTATTTGTGTATTGGAAAAGTCTGAACTAGGGGTCAGCAAACTTTTCAATAAAAATTTTGCTCCTCTATTGCAAAAATAAATATAACAAAAAAGAATCAGTAAACTTTTGCAAAAGAAAGAAAAAAAACACAGGAATGTAAGCAGCCCACTTGAAATACAAAGCATCTACTTTGTAAATGAAAAACATTAATTTACTTTTAAAAGCCTTGCACTATTGAACCCATTCTCTTGTAGATGCTCTATACAGATAAAGCATAAAAACAGACAGAACAAAAGCCATCCTTTCTTATTGCCTTTGAATTAAAAACAATTCAGATTTGATTTTTGTCAAGAGTCACAGTGTAGAGGTCAGAGAGCCATAATAGGCTCTGGAGCTGCAGATTTTAGACCCCCTGACCTCGACCTACGGTAAATCTAATTGAGATTTTCTTTTTGCAAGGCTCAAAAACTGATGTTCACTGACTTACACTGTCCAATCTGACTAAGCTTAAATTACTTAGTAAACCCAAACAGGCAGTAGGTCACACCTCAACATGCAAAAAGTAAGTAGAGAAAAGTTCAATAAAATATAAATAAAATGGTTAGTCGACGTTTGTGGTTCTCAAATTGCAAAACACGGAAACGTTCGCAGGGTCTCAATATTCTAACATTGCGCTGTAGGTTCAAAGACATTAATTATTCCGACGCATTCTCTCTCATTTCTGTTTATTTGTCGTTTTGTGTACCGACTGTAAGCTCTTGCACTGGCAATGAATTATGTGCATGTTATTAGTGACTGTAAAGAGCGATTGAAGGAGGAGACGCCAACAGCCGGCCAAGTTCAGTGCTTTCGTGCCAATCCTTAGTTGACCGTAGCCAAGACCCCATATTCCTTCTGTCAAACAGGCCATCTGTCATGCTGTTTTCTGCCATATCATGTCCCAGGTCAGCCCACACCTTGCAAACACATTCGGCCAATCATAACCACCAACGGGGACGTAGAAAATATGCCCTCTCACTGACACACAGAGAGAATATTTTCACACGTTGAGGCTAAAATACAACGGCTGCAAAAAAAAAAAAACAAAAAAAAGAAAAAATGAGTGACACTTGAGGTTTTGCCCGACTCGGGTTGCAAACGAAGGTGAAGGTGCAGGTGAGGTAAGGGGAGCAGGAGACGGCGTTTAAAGACAGGGCAGGGGTGCATGACTATGAAAAGATAGTGAGGGTGAGGGAGAAGAGCTGGCCAGCTGTGAAAGACTGCAGTCATTCCTCACTCTCAGCTCCATACCTGCAGACTCAATGAGCCGTTCCCGTGCTGCAGCAGGGCCAAAGCCGTGCGATTTCTCAGGCTCATTCAGCCTTGCCACGCCTTGCAGAAACAGACGCACCCAGGGCCTTGTAGTGCCAAGACTCTGCAAATCTACTTCCCCCCGCTACGATTCGCCGAGTGAAAGATTGAGCAATGACACCGTGACATTTAAGGGTGTCGGATCATGTGTCAGGCGAGCGCGAGCTCGTCGGTGTCACCAACAGCAACAATGTTTTAGATTTGGATTTATCAAATAAGTAAATGAGATAATGCTTAAATATTCTTGTATTCAGTCATACGGCCTGGTTTTGTGGCGTTCCTAAATTTTCTGCATCCTATTCAGAACCAGGTCATGAAGGCCAGAGTGAGTGCAGAGGTCTGCAGATGTTCATTATATCCTGTCATATTTTCAGGCAGACACAAGGGTTCTTCGGCAAATCAAGAGATGTAAATTTTCCAGCGGATTTCGGTTCCGACCAGATGCGTTTAATGAGGGGATAGATGTGTCCAAAATCACCTTTTAAAACATGGAGAAGAACAAAAGCTGAAAAACAAATTACAGTGAATATCACTTTTTTTTTGACACCACTTGGAAAACAGGTGTAAAAAGCATCCAAGTATTTGTTTAATCAAAATCTCAAGCGGCCCATTAATTGATGCTCTTGGCTAATTTTCAGCGTGGTGATCCGTTTGTGGATCTGGATATATATTTTCAATCATTCTGATGTCAAAGGTCCCAACTCGGCTTCTTCATCTTCACCATAAGTGCCAATAAATGTGTCAGAAACTGTAACAGTGACTCTGCTCCTCAACGAGCCCCTCTTCTATGAAGAGCATTTTTATTTCTTAGCATCGTTCAGTAAAAGAAATAACCCTCCAAAATCTCTCAAAACACTTTTGACATGTGTGAAGAAGTTGAATCATTATATGCCATGGATGAGCTCTAAAACTCTTCTGAAGCATAGTTATCACATTTTTTTTTTTTTTAAACACACTCCACTCCGAGGCTTTTTGTTGTGTTTTATGTAAAAGTAAAGAGGTTTACTGGTTAATCTCTATGGAAGACTTCCATCTCGTAGCATTAAATCCAAATGAGAAAAAGCAATCAACCATCAAGAAACGAAAACAATCCTAGTCTACGTAAACAACACAATAATCGTTGGAAATTTAATCTGAATTTTCACATACACTCCAGAGCTTTTGAAAGGGCCTTGAGTTGAGGTATGACGACATGCACTCCAGCAGATAACGTTCCTGAGATTGCCAAAACATGCAATATTTATGATTCGGAAGTGTTGTGATCAAGAACCTGTCTCGATGAATGTCGCTGCATTGCATCGCAGCATCCTTTAATGTCAAGTTAAGCAATCTCATTCTGCCAGTCGTAAACTCAGTAAGCTTTCGAAATGTAATTAATTTATGAGTAGTGTTAAGCCCTGAATGCACAATTGTCTTTTTACTCCTACTGAATGATTACACGTCTCAGACCTTATATAATAGAGAAGCTACTCTCCTGGTAATGGATAGTCTCACTTCAGATTTTGATTTGGAATATTGTAAGATTAATTGCAGGGTTGGGGAAGTTAATAAAAGCAGCTTCGGTACTGAATGTGCAAACTGCAACCTGTATATTTTCCAAAGCCTCTTCCAGCTCGGGCTCAGAGCCTGGTGATATCCCTTCAGGCAGCTTCTGCAATGAGACGCCTCAGACAGTGAGAGACACAGAATTGGAGTCGTAACAGAATCAACACAAAAATATGCTGGAACCACGTAACAAAAAAAAAAAAAAACACAACAAAAAACAGAAAAACATTGCATTTAATGTAAATACAGAATTAAAATAATGCCAACATGATGTTGAGAAGGCAGTAAGAACATGCAATAGAACCGAACGAATGGGAAACCTACTTTATTGGCAGAGAAAGTTAACTTTCTCTGCCAATAAAGTAAGTTTGTCTGTGGATACTGTATGGAGCTGAAAGTATTGGTGTGTAGGATACGGGACATGTATATGTGGTTCCGACTGAGCTGTTGAGAATCCGGTTACTTTAACAGCACCCAGCGGTGCGTAGGCCCTCACTGATGTAAACCTGAGCTGTCCAAGCTTGGAGTGCACGAAACAATAAAAAGAAACTGCGCCGACTCCAAAATATCTCTTACCTGCGTGTGTAAAAAAAAAAATATATATATATATCTCAAGATACCACTGCTTCTCAAACATCTCAGCATTCACAGCAAAAGAGAAATTCATCCAAAATTGGTCCAAACATTAAGCCTGTCGCTGATAACAAAATTAGGCTGTCAGTTTGCGGAAAGTCAGCGACTTCCTGGCTTGTTTCTTCACAAATTTTTTCGTTTCAGAAAATGGAAGAAACGACAACACATTCCTATTTTCTATTTTTTCCCTCCCTTACTCACAGCTTTTTGTTTCGAGAAACCAAAAGCCTGTAATTAGGGTATGTTACGAGCTTTCGGGGAAAACACTTTACCAGCAAAGACAGAGCAAATTAGGATTTAGTTCGATACCCAAAGGTACCGTTCTCATAAAATGACCAACTAAGATACAGAAGCATTCCTTCGGGTGTACCTTCGCTGTGTTTATGCAGATGAATGAGATTCCGTATTGTTCAGAGTTAATATTTTCTTTATATTTAAACCCGTATTCTTGCTTAAACAGATGAAACATGTCTATAGCGAGGGAAAATAATGCTTGAAGAGATGGACCCAATTGCCACTGCTCACAACATCAATAAGGAAGTTTACTTCATCTTTATCCTACCCTTGGTGTGTCTGGCCCTCATCAGTCTGTTATAATGGTCTCTGGATGTGTTATATAGTAGTTTTAGGGCAGAATCCATCCAAAAGGTAGTGAGCAAATGGACAGGAGTGAGGTAATAAAATGCAGGGCCAGAGTCCAGGGGGTCATCTCTCATTTTCTGCTGATATTCTGGCTGGACGTATTTGTCTTTGTCCTCCCCTCTGTGGTCCATGATGGATAGCAAAAAGAATATGGCTGATGGTGAAATATTTCCTCTTCTTTTAGGGTCTTCTTTTTCTTTTTTTCTTTTTTTTCCCCCCGAAGATCACCATTAGCAAAGTGGCAAAGTTAAGGGTTGGAGAGATGAACTCTGTGAAATTCAATCATGGGAATTGAAGGTTTGGAGGCGTGAGGCCTTGGCCCCATGGGCGGCTTGGGAGATTGCCTCAGATTAATTAATGTCAAAAAATGGAGCAGGTTCAGGCCGTAGAGCACAATTAGATATGGGACTGCTGGGCATGATGTTCACTATTCAGTGTGGGGAAAAAAAAAAAAAAAAAGGAGAAGAAGAGGTGATGCCTGCTGATATTTCCCCCTGTGTGTGCGAGGAGGACATTTCAAATTTGGAGTTAGTAATTTCGAGCATTGAGAAGTTATTTAAGTGGAAATGGTTTGGGCAAAATCTGCCCATGGCTAAGCAGACAGAAAAATACAGACGCTTATGACTGTACTCAAGTTGCATAACCATACAATGAAAAGTAAGCAGAACCATCTCTGTCTCCTGTAAAATACAACACGCTGAGGGTTAAGTGGTGGTTAAAAGGCGGATAACATTCAGTTAGAATGTACAGATGTTTTTTTCTAAAGCTTGAACTATACAATCAGTTTGGGTTTCTGTGTAAATACATCCCAAACCTCTGCAGTCAGTGTGGCTTCGACTTTATCTCGTTCCTGATATTTCAAAATTCGACCTAACCCTCAAGCAAATTCGCATTCAACTCCAGTCGCGTCCTCAACTTTTTGGGCACAGACAGCACACCGCTTTATGAGCAGCCTTAGATTAGGCAGGTGAATAAGCTGCATCCTGCTCCATTTAGTCCACGGGGAACTGGAATAAATCGTTCATCACTTTTCACAGGGAACAAAAATAAATCCTCCAGTTTTCAGCTCCGGAAAAGCCATTTGTTTGCTTCAGCACCATCCTGCGGTTGCGGGTGACTGCACCGACCTCTCACCACATGGCGCTCACTGTCCTCTCGAGTGCACACATCCACACACCTCTGTGCTCCCAAACAGAGGGGCACAAGGATCACGGTAATATTTCACACAAAAAACACACACGAGATCTTCGTCTCCGCTCTACCTGATTTGACTTGCGCTTCCGTTCCTTGGACGCAGATCAAATTCCAGAAGAACCAGAGATTTTGTCTTGCACAGCAACACAAAGTAGCAAAGGACTGGGAAGTAGAAGAGAAGTGATATAAGGTTTTCAATTTTTTTTTCCACAAACAGAAAAAGCTGGAATTTTCTAATTAAAAAATGTGGTGTGCACATTTGTGTGCACATCAGTCACCATATTAGTAACGCAGGTTATGCAACAGTATCTCAAGCTTTGAATATGTCATTGAATCCTATGCAATCCTTTAACCTGAAAATGAAAAGGCTGTAGCACAACTTCAAGCCTACCAACACATGGCAACTCACCTGTGCTAAAAGACCACCCGAAGAGCCAACAGGCCTGTGGAGCAGCTGCAAGGAGGAACCTGTCAACAGCAAACCTTTTTCTGATGCACTCCACAAAAAAAGCAATAAGAAATCATATTCATATTTATTGCTTTGCAGAAGCAAAGCAAAATCGCATGTGTGGCAGAAAACCTACACCGCACATCATCCTGAACACCACAGACCATAGGAACGTCTCCACAGGAAAAGAGCAGTAGGTCATTCTACAAAGAATTAAATCAGGGATACTGACTATAGACACAAGGCAGTCTAATTCAGATTTTGATTCAACCACAAAGTTGTTTATCTTCCACGTCATAATTATGCACAATTCCGTTTTAAAACACAGAAGCTTTTAGCTGCAAGATAGCACGTTGAAAAAAAAAAATTATATATTTTGCAAAGCACTATAAAGTAAAATAGCTTTTTGAAGACTGATTTCCATAAACGGCACCCAAGAGATAGCTGCCAACTCTTACAAAAGCAAGGAAAACATGTATAAAATGATGCTAATCAAACTCATTACTGGGATATTATAATATCTCATTATTCTCGGTAATCTACAGCCTGCTGTAATAACGAGCCTAGATGCAGAAAAGCTACTTATTAGAGAGCGCGCTCTATTAGAAATATAGATATCCATCATGTCTGCCCCTCTCCCGTAGTGGCCAGCTGCGAAGGACTGCAACGCGCTTTCCATGCTTCTCATGAGAAACGAACCTTGTTGACAGGTGGGGGGTCGGGGGGAGGGGGGGGGTGGGGGAGACGCCTCTGTGATTGTTTTCGTCCCACATTGGACAAGTTAATTAATTTCAATTACCGGCTTCTCGTGTTGAAGGCTAGAAGTCAGAGCTGGGAAGAATTTTGTCAAGAAGGTTGTCTCAGTTTTATTATTCCATTTATCAAAGAAGACATAGCCATACACCTGAGAGAGAGACAGTGAGAGAGAGAGAGAGAGAGAGAGCTGACTTTTATTTTTTTCCCTCTCACGCATGGCTGCTCTGCCTACAAAAATAAAAGGTTATGAAGCAAGAACAATCCAAAAAGCATTAGTTATTGGAGGAATCGGCTTGTTTTCCCAGAATTTTAGACCATTCTGGAAAAAAAAAAAAGCAATACCTTTATGACTTCTTCTTTGAAAGTTCCCTCACTCCAGGAGTCATTTTCAGCCTTTCCTATCTTTGAGACATGCCTTTGGAAAAGATGAAAGTAAATGTCTAAGCTCTTCAGTCAGGGTCAAGTCAAAATGGAGAGTGTTCAAATGTCTAAAAGCAGGAGTTTGAAGGAGAACAAGAGACTTTCAAAGGATTGTAATGGCTAAATTGGCAGCAGCAGCCATGCTGAATTATTTTGGACTAAATTAAGCGACGCTATCTGACTTCTTTTAAAGTATAACGTCTTTTTTCTATTAAAGCTCCCATGAATGTAACAACCGTCTAAGCTGAACAAACTGATCATCATGGATTAGGCAAAAAGCTTGAGTGCTGGTAAAAATAGAAAGACACATGAAAAACTTTGAAACAATATGGACAGAATTGGCAAAAAGGCAAAGAGAGTGCAAACTTGTTAGATGTGTCATGGTGTCGAGCTTTCCCATTTTAATGTCCTTCAAAATTTTCCATTTTCATTTGATCAGAAACGATAAAAAATATCTTGTCTATCTGAATTAGCGTTCTGTTGATTTTCCCTGTGAGGCTGCATAGATCAGCAGGCAAGTTTTTGAGCAGAGGGATTAATTTATAGCGATTGTCATGTAAGAGAAAACTGAATACCACACTGAATGTTAATAGTTTACTGATATGTCGTTGTGACTCAGTGGTGAAGACTCTATTTATATACCACTTGTCCCTTAAACGTATTTCTAATTTATTTAATCTTTTTATAGTTGGTAATAATGCTTTAGTTTAAACATTTCTGTTGTAACTTTGCTTCACGTACTATCCCGAGTTTGTTTGTGTTAGCATTGTGTTGGAGTATACATCCATGCATAAGTTCTATGTAGAGCTAACGCTACTGAACTATTAAATAATTTAGGATTTTTCTTCTGTTACAAGATAAATTACTTCTGGCTGTTTCTTTGTTTATACTCACCGTTGTTTGTCCCTTTGTTCAAATCCTACATCCAGAACGGTTGTATTCAGGGGCCAGCCAAGCACTTCCTATTCGCCATATTGGTTTATGATGTCACTGATTGCATCACCAGGTACAACCAATTGGAGGGGTTTTCTTTTGTTTGTTGTCTTTAAAGCTTTTGAGTTGTACTATATTAAGTGTTTTATTTTTGGAGATTATTTATTTTTGTAAATGACTTTGTCAATAAGATTAATGATGCTCCTTTGTTTAGATTTTGTTGTTCGGTTTACCCTGATTATTAAAGGTACAGACTAATGAGGTGCAGTTGTGTTTTCAGCTCTGTGCCAAACCAATAAGATTTTGGCTACTGAAAGGTTTATAGGATGGCAGGGAACCAGGATGTCAGGAAATAAAATCCATTAAGAGGAAACGTAGACTGTCTGCTGATGCTGTTTACTTATCACTTTCCTTGACACTTTTACAACAGTACTTCACATCCATCTGGATATTTTTAACACTAATGCAGACTGCTTATGTCAGACCCAGCAGCCAGCCTTGGAGTTGTCATTTATTTGCCATTCCTGCCTACCTTTCCAGCATTTTAACAAAATACCAGCATGAATGAAATGCTATTGCTATACAAATTGATTGGGGATAAAATAAAATGTTAATGCTACTGGACTGTAGAGGTGAATGGGGGAAAAGTTATACTATTGAACAATTAATTAAACAATCAGTCAGTCTGACGTTATTCATTTACCTTCCAGTGAAAGGTTGTTATTATTATTGCTTACCAGGAGTTTATTTTTTTCCCTGTGCTGTGATTTATGCTTGAATCAAAGATGATGTACACAGAATCTAAATGCTATCAGAAAATCATCGTGAGCTACAAATAAGTGCATGTTTATTATTATAAATAACATATACTTCAATGTAGATACCGATTAGCCTGCCAACCAGCAACAAATATAAGGATAGACAATAGGAACACAAAGCTTAAGAATGAAACGATGTGTCTGAATATCTAATACTTTGATGTTTGGATGGGTGAGGTTTTGGGTTTAATTTACAATAACATATGAATTAAGTAGCAGTTTACTTGATGTGTTTGAGGCTCCCTAGTGAATAATAATGGGATGGACTCTCTGGATTTTCACAGAAAAAAAAAAAAAAATCTGTTCTTATGAGTGCTTGCAAAGAGAAGTCGCTGGAAGGTCACAGGCAGACAAACAGGGAAAGTGGACAAAACAAAACAAAATAAAGGAGACAAATACTTTCCTTGGTCCTGGTTGACCAGGCCAGGATGGAAAAGATGAATTTAGCTACATCTAGGCTCTAAATGAAGTAAGAAAGTCCAGAAGTAAATGGTTGATAAAAACGACTTAACCTTAAACAAAGCGGTGGTACTACAATTTAAGTAGCTCATAAGCAAATAAATACTCCAAACAAACAAATCATAGTTTTAATACCAGCAACACCATGATGCTAGTTAGTGTGCACCAAAGTCTGTCAATTTAAATGACCAACTCAATTCATTTCACTGATCATCAAAATCAAATAACATCAAACTTTTATCTGAAGATTAATTTTTAACCTTTGCATTTTTAAAATGCAATTACTGTAAACCAAAAAGAAGACATTTCTTATCATTTTCATTATATTTATTGAAAGAATAAGCATAAGCATGGTAATTTCTTTTTTTTTTTTTAGAGAAATAAAACCATCTCAAATTTAAATGGCGCACCTCTGGACTTAGAGAATGTGAATGAAGGACCCCTTCCAAAAAAAAAAAAAAAAAGAGATAAATGCAATCAATACCCAAAGGATCTCAAATATCTGCTGAATCCTCATGTGTCAAGAGGGATATTATTGTGATAGTCTAATTATGACCTTACTTAATGTGAACGTGTCCAAAGGGAAGCATAAGAAGGAAAGAGGGACCATGTGGATAGAAGAACTTGCAGATTTTGAGATTTTCCTTTTCATGCTGACCAGTGAGAGTATATGCATTATAGAGTGAGAGCATAAGCATATGAAAGTGAAAATAAATGTGTGCACGAGGAGAAAATATGTATGGGAGTATGCCAGAATGAATTATGGCCTACATGGGCCTCCATAGATGTGTAAACTGCTGTAGCAACACTTCCAAAAACCGATGAGACAGCAGAATTGTCACGAGGTTTCCTCCCTGCTCTCAAAATAACGGGGATAACTTATTGAATGTGGCAAACACAACAAGTTCACTGAGCCTTATGTCATCTCTGTTAGGTTTGTCTGCGTGAAGTCAAGCAGCAGCCATGGGAAAATGGAAAAAGACGTCAGGACCTCATTTAAACATGTAAAACCAAACATCATTAAGAACAAAAAAAATTAGTAGAACTTCCCTGGGAATTATTTCAACATTCAAAATCAGCTTCCTCAACCTCCATCAGTGTTCAATATCTGGTTCTGCATGTCATACGTTTTGCTAACAGTGAAAAAAAGGAATACCATTCTGGCTTCCTTTCACAGAATACAGTTAGCTTCTGGGGTGTTTTTTTTGTTTTTTTGTTTTGTTTTGTTTTTCTTCGCCAGTTTTCTTTGAATCATTTAAGACCAAGACTAATGAAAATTACAAGCTGTTTGCAACAGATTTAGAGAATTAATATTTATTTCCCATGCTTTATGTATAATTTAAGCATTCACCAGATTCATTAGCGCTTAGAGAGCAATAAAGCAGGGCTTCTGGACGCATTCCCTCTCAAACCAATAATTTCCAGAGTTTATATGATCAGAGTTTGCTAAGCAGTCCTCGATGGTGAGACCATTCCTAGATATGAAGCAGAAAAAATAAGTGTTAAAAAATGCAAAGGTTTTTCCTCAGTAAATGTATGTCTAATAGGATTTACTGACCTGAAATTCACACATGCAAAGACCAACAAAAACAAATTAGTCCATCCATGGACTGTAATAAAATGAAATGGCACAGGGAATAATTAAATAATTTTGAAATTTTTTTAATACAGTTTGAAAAAAAAAAAAAAAAAAAAAAAGGGTTAAAAACTCCCTTCCCATTTTTAAGGTTTTGCCAGCTGTTTTCTTTTTGGCCTTTGTTTTTAATTT